ATATAACTTCTTTATACGAAACTATGCTTATCAATCAACGAAGAAACCCCGAAAATAAACTGGCGGCTTAAAAAAGCTTTACCTTAAGGGAAATTGCAAATAACACTTAAAAAATTGTAGACAACCTTCCGTTTAAAAATCAAAAAATGCTATTATTAAATTACCTTTTCGAAATCACTCCCCGGTTAATATTGGACGTCACAGTTAATGCGTGAGGACGCTAAAATTATTTTAAAGTAACCGCACAAACGTCTAAGCTTAGCTAAAACACTTGCAGCAATATTTGAATTTGTCTGAAATGTTCTTTCAAGATTTTAAATATCATCAATTCTTGTTGGCGCAGTGCGTCAAGGCCGCCTTATGCGCGTTGTTCTAAGGTAGATAATTAACTGTATGAAGATATTTACTTTGACAAATATCCACAAAGACAGATGGCTAATTCAATCTCCCTTAAAAATCTCGACGGGAGTGGGTAGTTGGTCAAGAATCGAATCAAGGAAGCGTTTCACAGAATTTCATTTATTGGCGCCAAGCTTTTATTTCCCGGAGGCCGAGTTCCGGTAACAGGGTATAAAGCCCTCATACGGAGTCTGATATTGCAGTCTTATTCACCTGCGAGTCCGCAACTAAAAGTCAAGATATTTTGAGAACGGCGTCAGAAGTAAGTACATTTTTAAAGTCTTTGTCGAGATGTTACAGATAAGCTGTAATCACCGTCTGTTTCTTTCTTTTTTTAACTTTTATTTTTATCTCTTAAAAAATCGCCAACTGAAAAAAAAGTTAAATACGTAAATCATTTACACTTATCATAAACCAGATCTTTCGCAATGTGGTTTGGAGCTTATGTCATAAAATAATTGTTAAGGCACAAGTCGATAAGTCAATTGACTGTCTTAGCGGAGCAATGTACTTTCATCGCCTCTTATCTGACTTTGTGAAAAAAAAATTTAACGTTCTACTTAAGATAATCTCTTTTTAAAATGAAGGTAATATTGGCCTACTTGTCAGCTCTTGAAAATTGTACAATTCAATTGTACAATTTTTCAGTTTTTCTCCCTGGTTTCTGAGATGGTGAAATACAACTGAATTGTCTTAGTTAGCTGCCAGCCTCTTCGTGTAGTAAAATAAAGTTTTGTTTCGTGTTATAAGAAAAGCGTTTTGTCCCAGTAACATGTACAAGGTTTTGACAAAGTATAGACAGCTTTTATTGCTTATATCTTATAGGAAATAACTAGACAAAATTGTTGTAAAAGTCGGTTTAGAATTAAGGTATAAATTTCACTAAATTCCAGCCACAGTACTTTGCGCCAAGTTTTTCGTGTAAATACGTTATCGCGAAGCAAGGCGGCCGTTGCTTACGTGTACGGACAATCAATTACAGCACTCGATGGCACTTTCTCCAAGCACATTTCACACAGACGAAAACTGAGCGGAAAGGTTTTAATGATCTTACAAGAAAAAAAACAAATTAATCACGGATAATGTGTATCGGTCTAAAACAGGAACGCCCCAGTTTAAGGTCAACTAGCCTCATGGAAGACTTACAGTTTATAAAAACATCTTAGCGCCATGAATAGACCATAAAGAAAAACACTATTTCTCCACATTTTTACAAGTTCTCGTTGTAAGAGGAAAAGAGGGGAGGGCAAAGCAGGGATCTTTTAAGGCTAGGAATGAGTCTGGATGTATTTTTATGGCACAGACCGACCAGTCTATATAGGGCAGCACATGGAAGAGAAAGTAATGGGCCAGTTCATTACAATTTTTTAATAATGAAATGTTACTAAGTTCAGCAAAAAAAGGTAAAAGTCGATGTAAGTATTTTTCAGCTAAGAAATAACATCGCCTTAGCTTTCACGCACTTCCTTGAAAAATTCAAATTATATGGAGAGGAGACAATCAAAATGAGAGAGTTTCGTGATGATACAGTGATTTATCTTTATCTGCCATATCCACACTTCAAACAATTCACGTACAATGAGGTTAATTTGGAATGCATCTGAAACCTTTTTCAACACAAAAAAAGCAAATGAAATTGAATGAAAGACTCAGAGTTTTCACGTGCGCAACCCTCTCATAGAAAACTGAAATAACAAAACAGTTCGGTGATTTTTAAGTTTCTTCGAGATATCAAACTTGAAGACGTAATTTTTTTTTGAGAATTCAAAATTAGTCTGGAACACGCCATTCGTACAATTCTAGTACGACTTGTGCTGAGAAATATTAGAGTTCATTCTTATAAGATACCAGTAGCCGAGAGGCAAATTGAATGACCCAACCTCGGTGTAAGAGCCTGTAAAATTCACGGGTGACGTAAAACAAAGGAAAACAAAATATGCACAATAAAAACAAGTTCACAGGTTCTTACACCGTGGTAATCATTTATTCTTTGTAAAAAGTGTTTCTAAAACTCATCAATAATACACGAAAAGATAACAAAGGAAGAGGATTTTGAAACCGGATATTAATTACCATAAAATATTGGGAACTTTAGCTTACGAACTTTGAATTTATGGTTCATTCGAGAGCCTCCATCAAACACTTGACCCAGTGTTTCTTCCGGTTATTTAGACACCAGCACGAATTTAGACTTGAAAACATCGTCTAAGACTTGTTCTTTTTTTACCCTCTTAATAATGGTGTCTGGATATCTGAAAAAATACTACGTCTCTGTTTGATATATTACTTTCTACAGGCTCGCCAGTTCTTTCTGGTGTCTTCATGGTATTCGAGCTCTACGATCAAAGGGGCTCACGGCTGTCTAGTTCACTTATGCGTCCTTATTCGCTATAGACCTCAGCGTTAGTGAAGAAACTAATTGTAAATAACAAAATCAAGGCTTCGCGAAAAACAAATGAGTCTCCAGAGCATTTTATCAAACGTTGCAAACAACAAAAACCCCCAATTTCAATCCGTTTCAATCTTCTTCAAGTTTGTTCATCGGTCCCTACTTTTGTATTTGCTGTGTTATTAATACCTCGCGGCTTTAATTTCTCGAGCGATTATTTCTATGTTCAGCCACTCAATTTTGTGGGAGTTTCTACCGTTAGAATTTCGATAAAATTCCAGACATAGCTCGTATAATTAGCTAACACATACCTATTTAATTGCAGATCATCATGAACCAACTGAGATTGATTCTTATCGCATGTTTGTCTTCTTTCCTCTTCTTCGAATTGACCAACGCTCACTTTCGTCTCGGCCGGGGAATGGAGCGAGCTGGAGCGGTGCCCTTAGAAGAACGAAGGGCCGCCCCGCTTAGGGCTGGGTTCCAGGATTCACGGGTTGATGCCAAACGAGAACTGCTCCTAAAACGCCTAGAGGACATCTTAGATAAATACGAATCAAGAATGAAGCGTAGCGAGGCAGATAATTAACTAAGGGTAAGAACTAAAGAAAAATTTTAGCTTTCCTATCAAGCATCGGAAACAAGTATAAATTTCAAGTCATCAAAATTAGTCTGTCCCTTATTAATAATGCAAAAAGGGCATGTAGTATTATCCTCCCATTTCTTCATTTTATTTCTATTCATTTGCTTAGGGACGGACCGAAAGAAAAGTGATGGGGGGACGGATTGCCTGTGCGAGAATTTTCATTTTCTTTTAATTGCAACCCTTTGTGGGAAATTTATTTGGAGAAAATTTGCTCCATGCCCTTTTCGCTCCTCGCTGCTTTGTTTTTACTGAGTACATAAATTGTACATTTATAGTAAGTTAAAGAGAGTATCTTGAAGGGGCCAGGGGAGGGCTTCAGTATTGTCACGAATTATACGTTTCTGGGAAACTGCCCACTTACCCCTCTCCTAAGCTAACATTTTGCCTTAAGTGAGTAGTAAGTGTTAATGTTGACATAGGGGAGGGGTAGGTGGGCAGTTTCCCAGAAACGTATGATAACCCATTGTGATTATCTCTCTGAAGTATTTTTTGAAGTAAGAGTATTGTGAATTAAAGTTAGATGTCTCCATCCGGTGCCAAAATGTCATGTTCACTTAAACCCCTTCTTTGACGCACTTTTCTGTCTATTTTGCTCAACAGGATCGCAGGCGGTCAGGACAAATTTTCAAGTAAAACATAACTCGCGTAGCAGATGCTATAAAAATCCAGCGGACCTCTAAGTTTCCGTCAAAAATGTCTGTAATATAAAATATATCTATTTAAAATTTGTAATGAACATCTCCATTCTACACCATTTTCCATAGCGTCAGGTTAGGCTACATCTTGCTTCCCCATAAAACCACGTAGTTTGCTTGTAGTTTAAATTTAGCTGCTAGTATGACCAGCGCTGGGTCTAACAGATAAACTCAGCATGTAGCTCTGTAAGTGTGTTTAAGTCTTTATTTGTTTCTTCCATGTAGCGCAACTTCCTAAGACACACAGTTAAGATGAAATGCATTAAAAGCTTGAAATGTGACAAGATACTTAATGGTGTTTGTTTTCAATGCGTTGTTAATCAATTCTCTCCAAGATCTAGGGCGTGTCTTGTAGGCGCAATTTTTTTGCCCCCTTTATCAGCCGCCATGTTTTCTTTTCTTTTTCAAACATTTCTTATCTAAAAATGAGGAGAAGTACGGTGTTGGAAAAATCAAAACCTACACTCAAAATAAGTGTCCTTAGGTGGGAAAATAAACACGCGCACTTTCGCATTTGCGTCCTAATTTTTTCTATTCTGCGCAACTGCACAATAAGTGTTGAAATGTTTCTAGTTGGACGCAGTTCTTACTCTTGTTAGAAAGCGCGCATTATTTTCTGATTCGCAAGTTGAAATTGAAAATAAAAAAGTAACTTAAATTCTGAATAAACGTGATAATGGCAAAAGTTTCTTAAATTGGAAGATTAGTTTGTGTTCAATTAGTAACGACAAATGAATTTAATTGATTTGGTTATAAAGAATTTTATTTCTACGTCACAACCGTTAATGAATTCGCCACTTTTGTCAAGACATAATACGCTGAATTTTACACGCGTGTAAGAGGTTGATAATTTTGCATCTCTTTGCCAAAAATGGGTGAACTCAAGGCAGCATACAAGAAGTTTTCTTCAGATGACGATTTTCCAGACCTTTCGCAGCATAACAATTACATGGCAAAAGCGCTGACGAAAGAAATTTACGCAAAGTTGCGGGATAAGGTCACTAAGAATGGGTATACTCTCGATGACGTGATTCAAACAGGGGTCGATAACCCAGGTTAGTCAGTGGCCAAAGTCAACATCCAACAAAATTTATAAATTTTATTTCGTAAAATGCTGAAAAGCAAATGGTACAGTGTGAAAGTACTTCAAAAAAGGTTTCGTTTGAATGATCACACTTAAAGATTCCATCCCCTGCCGAAAAGTTCGAACAACCTTGTACAGCATAATAAACAGTACCACAGGAAAGTACTGCTCAGTAGCTTTCATTTGAATGGTCACACTTTAGGATTCCATCCACAGACTCAAAAGATAGAACCACCTTGTATAGCATAATAAACGATAGGAAAGTACGGCTCAGTAGCTTTCATTTGAATGGTCATACTTTAAGATTTCATCCACAGACTCAAAAGTTAGAACCACCTTGTACAACATAATAAACAGTACCACAGGAAAGTACTGCTCAGTAGCTTTCATGTGAATTGTCATACTTTAGGATTTCATCCACAGACTCAAAAGTTAGAACCAGCTTACAAGACTCATGAAGAGTGACCAACATTCGAGTTCTCCTTACCGTAATGCTGTTCAATCAAACGCAAGGATCATGAGAAAAAAGAGAATGATCAGCAAGTGTAAAACGCGTAGATTTTTGCACAAATTCTCCTTATGAGTACCATAGGAAGTGTAAGGAGAGGAGTTTGGAGAAAGTGTATGCGGATATCAGAGAAACGGACAACCTTCAATACTTCGCCCCATGTAAGGTAATCCAAGACAGTCTTGGATTCTGGAGTCCAGGTACTGCATGGATTGCGGATTCTTTGTCAGTAGGACTTGGATTCTGGATTCCAATTGTTAGCGAGATTCCGGAATCCTTGAGCTGGGTTCCGAGTTCCAAAGCCCAGGATTCCGGATTCAATAAACAACCCCGGATCCAGTTTGTTTATACTTTCTAAAACATGCAGTATATCAACTGTGATTGAATAACACTGTATTCATGCGCGTCATGGAAGTGAGCTATAATTTTTAATTTTGGCGTAAAGAATACTTTTCGATGAATGTTTAATTAACGAATTTTTTTGGTTGATAAAGATTTGCACTTCAGTTTTTTCTCTATCAAAAAAAGAACAAAATGAAACTGCCAAAAACTGCCAAAAAATCAAGAATTCGAAAATGTCGCAAATTTAACTTAATTAGCCAATAAAAACGTGATTAAATTAGGCTTACGTAAATAATATGGCAAATCTTTAATGACGTCACTGAAGACGACATGACAGTTTGCGCACGATGTTTCCGCCCTAACAGCTGGAAACAGTCAGCACGCGCTCAAATAGACACTTAATCTTTCGTATTATGAATCGCATAAGTGCTATTGAAAGGAAGTACCTTGAAATGAAGAGCAATCGGACAAGATAAATCTCTTTAACTAACTGACATAGCACCAGTTCAAAAAACCGTTTCTTGACATGAACTTGCAGTAACCAAAAAACAGTTACAAGTTGAAAATACAAATATTTTCTTTGTCAAAATGAGTAGTGAGTATAATAACTTTAAGGGTTTTCAAACGTAGAAGCGAGTTCATGGCAATTTTTTCGCCGCAAAATTTTCCATTGTTTCGAATCTGCTCTTACTTTGATACTTTTTATTTACCAGTTTCCAGAAATCTTACTTGGCGGGTAACTCTTTACATCAGATGTACCCAATCTTAACCGCTACATAAACATTGGAAAATCCCGATAAAACCGCTAGGAAATCGTAGCAAAAATCGTTTGCGTAAAAGGCCCCAGTCTAACAGTAGCCTGAGAAAACAGCCAACATTTGGCGACGCTAAACTGGTTTCCCCGCCAAATGACGTCTGAGAAACGAGCGCGGAAATTCCATACTGATGACGTGTCACTACCCAGATCTGCGTAGTGCTTCTGATTGGTCGTGCCGCGTGGGAAATTTGATTCAACCAATCAGAAGCACTACCCAGTTCTGGTGAGTGAACCATCATCAGTATGGAATTTCTTCGCTCGTTTCTCAGAAGTCATTTGGTGGGGAAACCAGTGGCAGCGTCGCCAAAAGTTGGCTCTTTTCTCAGCCTTGTTAAACAGTTGAGCGAGCTATGTAACAATGACAGAAACAATTTCATTTCCTATCAGGTCACCCTTTTATCATGACTGTGGGATGTGTTGCCGGAGACGAAGAATCTTATGACGTCTTCGCAGACCTTCTGGATCCCGTTATTGAGATGCGACATGGCGGCTACAAGAAAACAGACAAGCACAAGACTGACCTTGATTGCACGAAAATCAAGGGCGGAAAACTCGATGAGAATTACGTGCTATCGTCACGTGTTCGCACCGGGCGCTCCATCCGGGGTTTCAGTTTACCGCCGCACTGCTCACGAGCAGAGAGAAGAGGAGTCGAAAAAGCCGTGGTAGATGCCCTGGGTAAACTGGACGGCGATTTTAAGGGAACGTAAGGCCTACATGTATGTTTCTTTAGTTATACGAGAGAAAGAAAAGAGCATTTTCTGTAATTTTCCCTAGATGTCGTAAAATATTTAGTTTGCAAGACATTCTAAAGGCTGAGTCATGCAATGTAGCTTATTAAACACAAGAAAGAATGTTTCAAGGATTTCCAAACAGTGGGAATGGAACAAAAAAGACCAATTTTTCCGGGCAGCGCTCTTAAAAAATAAATCATGTCGTAAAATATCCGCGGGTGTTACCTACAAGAACACAAAGAAAGGCGAGCTTCTTCTTCCTTATACGGGGCGGTTTAGACGTAGATTTAAATTCGCTCCCTATCTTGTTTCAGGTACTATCCACTCAACAAGATGACAGAGGCCGAACAGGAGCAGCTCATTGAAGACCACTTCCTCTTCGACAAGCCAGTCTCGCCACTATTGACATGCGCAGGAATGGCCCGTGACTGGCCCGACGCCCGAGGGATCTGGCACAATGACAAGAAAAACTTTCTTGTCTGGGTTAATGAAGAGGACCACACTCGTGTGATCTCCATGCAGACTGGAGGCGATATGGCTGCTGTGTTTGAACGATTTTGTACTGGCCTTAATAAGGTGTGGTAATTATTCATTTCTTTTGCTTAATGTATAATTATCGACCTCAGAGATCAAACTTTTGACTCCGCGCTTGCGCAATAGAGAAGAGTTCTGGGCTCAAGAATGTGCTAGTATCTAAGAAGTTATGAGACCAGGAGGGGCACTCTTGGTTGGACTTTATTTTGAAAAAGCGCTCAACGAGAAAGGTTTAGGTTAAGCAATCGGAATTTGGCAGAGTCTAACCATGAAAACTAGATGGAAAAAAGAAGTGTAACAGGGAGTTGAGAGTACAAAACACTGCCACTTTTTTGCTGCTACTGTAGTATCCAGTTAAAAATTGCTCAGGATTTAACGTAATGACGATAAATGATGACTGATGAAAATGATGACTGATGATGAATAATAACAACAAGGATGATGACAGATAGTAAAAACAATAATGATAGAAACGATAAGAGAACGCCAGTGTCCATAGAGTAACAAGGTAGATAAAAACGACAAAAACTAGTAGTATATTGGAAAAAGTTAGACGAAATTTGCTGACGTTCTTTATTAGGCTGGTTTAGCAACAGAACGGAAACGTCAGTTGACGACAGGAAAGTGCGCGCAAAGGACTGAACGCGACTTCCGGTGCTCAATTTGCTGCTCTCCCATTGGTCAAGCCAGTTGTTTGATTTGCGCGCGTCGTCGTCAACTGACGTTCCCGTTCTATTGCTAAATCAAAGATTTCCTTGACTTACGCCATTAATTTCTACCAGGTCGAGCAACTTATCAAGGGAGCTGGGTACGAGTTCATGTGGAATGAGCACCTTGGTTACGTGCTTACCTGTCCATCAAACCTGGGTACCGGTCTCCGCGGAGGCGTCCATCTGAAAATCCCGCTCATGAGCAAGGACGAGGCGCGGTTAGACGACATCCTGAAGAAACTCCGTCTGCAAAAGCGTGGCACGGGAGGCGTTGACACGGCGTCCGTGGGAGGCGTGTACGACATCTCGAACGCCGATAGGTTGGGGTTTTCAGAAGTGGAGCAAGTTCAGGGTGTAATCGATGGCGTACAGTTGTTGATTGAGATGGAAAAGAGACTGGAGGAAGGCGGGACCATCGATGATTTGATTCCCAAGTAAACACGCTAGACGCTTTTCTTCTGTAATCGCAAATACTCTTCAGATACACACATGTAAATAAAAATCCTACGCGAGAATTTGTCAACTGTCCAGGAAATATGTATAGACAACATTGTCAGTCTGAATAAAATCATTCTGTTTCTTCTTATTGTTGTTGTGGATCATTATACGTTTATGGGAAACTGCCCACCTACCCCTCCCCTAAGCCAACATTTTGCCCTAAGTGAGAACGTTTAGTTTGGGGAAAACAGATCATTACACGTTTCTACCCTGTCCTCCTACCCCCAAAGCCAACATTTTGCCCTAAGTGATTTCCTCAAAGTGTTGAATGTTCGTTTTGAGGGAAGGATGACAACGAGGACCCTGGGTACGAGATTGATCTAAAAGTCTTTGATCACGTGGTTTGGGAAACTGTCCGTATTTCTTCCCCAAAAACGCCTGCTCAACAAAGACAACATTCCTTTCCCATTGTTCATTCTTGTGGTTTCAACGGTTTTTAAATAAACCATTTGACAGGCTTTCCTGACTCAAAGAGTTGATATGAAAAAACGTGACCCTGTCTTTTCTTTCGTTCCCTAACGCCACAGTGCTGAGAATTCTAAAATCTGACTGAGACTTTTGCCGGATGACAACATTTATTAGGACCCTGAAGGTTTCTTAAAGTTTCATGCAGATCGCGTGATTATCGGGTTACCCTGCGGTCTAAAACTTTCCAGAATTTGATCAACGTGGCTAAGCGTGGGAAAGGAATGTTGTCCTCTGTTGAGCAGGCGCTTGTGGGGAGGGAAGAAATACGAGCTCCCCTAAAAACGCCTGCGTGGGAGGCTAGTGGTACATAGGAACTGGCAAATACCCAACCTCGTTCCCAAGCTAAAGGAGGGAAAGGAGGGAGAACTGGTAACGAGTTTGGTAAAACCCCAGTGGCTGTAACATTCAATTGTTTTATTACATTCAAGCTATCAAGGAACAGCTTTTTAAAAATACACTTCAAAACAACTGCATTTGGAAAAACAGACAGCTACTTTCATAATTTGCTTTAATACAGGAGTTGGCCTATAGATACAACATGTACAACCATTTTATACTCCTCGTAAAAACAGAACTTTCACTGATACCACAATACCCTGGGTACCAGGGGTTTTTTATTCGCGAATGGCGGGATGTTTCGGTTTGGCCGCCGGACTAAACCGATCTAACCATACTCGAAATTAGTTTGGCGCTATTAAAGCAATTTCGCTCTGGTCAAGAGGCTTTCTGCGTAGGTCACGGTAAAGACTTGACCGAAACCGGAAACCGCGCATGAATAGCCTGCGTAGCAGGCGCTCGAAAGAAATATTATGTGCTCAATAAAAAGTGGGGCGCGCGCGATGGGAGAGCGAGTCTCCCTCGCGCACGCTCTGTTTTTTTCTTGAGCCCACATTCCTTTTGAGGTACTGTACGCATGAAAGTCTCTAGCACCCAAGGTAAGGGTGGATTTCCACTGTCGCGTAATTTTTAGGACCACACGGACATAACTTTTACGTTACTAGTAACCCAGAGGCTATGTATGAGAGGGCGCGTGTAAACTTAAAAATTGAACAAGGTTCAGCTTTTCAACAACAACAAGGAAGAAAAATATTTACAAAAGCAAACGAACAGCCATCTACTAACCACTTGACTGACCGTTTTGAAAATTCGCATTCAGAATCCAAAAAAAAATAATAACAATGTTCCAACGGTAAATTTAACTGGTAGGGTACAACAAAGGTCGAAGCATATTACAGAAAATGTCCTGCTTGCCGTTTAGATAAAATCCTCCCAAACTACAAATTCAGTACCAACTGGATGCAATCATTTACCACCAACGAAGTAACTTTGACATGTTTACGCCATTCTTCTTTCTCTCTTTATTGCATTTTACATTCTTGCTGATTTGTTGTTGGTTTTTTAGCCTCTTCCCCTGGTAAAACTCTGGCTCTGGGTCTTGCCGAAGCTGAAATGGAAAACAAAATCATCGATTACAAATCTATTTTTCGGTGCGACAAAGCCAGAATGTATGCAGTCCTTACCGTTTCCAGTTCTGTCGGTTCGAGAGCAAATGCAACAGTCAACGCTAATGTTTTGATTCAGTTCAAGGTAAATAAAGATCAGCAGACAAGAACTTGGCTTCTTGCCTGTGACGATTGCTTTGTTCTCATTTCTTGGAGCCGGCAACGAAGCCAGAATTGATGATGAAGATGATGATGTTGTTGAACATTACGACGATATTGATAATGACGACGAGAAAAATGATTATGATTATAATGAAAAAAATGAACTTTAAAATATTATGACGATTATGATGTTGGTAAAAAACACTAGTGGAGGAAAGGACGATGATGATTTGGAGACACATAGTGATAACGATAACATGAATGAAGATAACAAAAAAGCTGATGCATTTTGCCCCCAAACTTTCTTATAAACTATTGTGCGTTTTCACATGACATCATGGCGGCCATATTGTTGTTCCAAAACAATGAACTTGAGGCCATATTAGTGTCCCAAACAAATCATCTTTTCTTATGTAAACGTTTTCTTTTGCTCCAATAGCTTGCTGGCCATGTACCGTGAATCCTCTATTACCCCCTTTCCCCTCTTCAGAGAGAGAAAGTTAATATGACCCCCCTCTCTTTAAAGCCCCCCTCCTCCCCCTTATCACTCTTCACTTATAAATGTTGGACTGTATTAATCAATCATGGTTGTAAAACTTCGCGTGAACTGATCCGGGATGGTTTATTCACCAACTGAAAGCTCGGATTTGTTTCTGATCCTCGGCTGCATGACCTCCGACTTTTTGTCCTTGAGTTTTTCCACTTTGTTTTTTAGTTCTTTATGGACAACTAATACTATCATCTTTGCTAAATTAAATAAGTCCCCCCCTTCAAATAAGCCCCCCCGTCTCTACCGTGAAAAAACACCCCCCCCTTCCTTTCCTTGGGAGCTTTATAAGGAATACTCACCAGTTGTCCTTGTCTTGCTTGGACGTGGTACTTGGCTACTTCCGGGTTTAGGTATCTTTGATCTGGGACCCTGGGGAGCATTTGCACTGATTCTGTTTGTCTTGCGAGGAGACAGGGGCATTTCCGGAGGGGCAAATTTCACCCGTGGGGGTGAGCGAGATGACATCGGGTTTTCTTTCTGTAGATAAGAAAATACGCAGATTTACAATTTTTTCAGTTCATGGGAAATACAGGTAACACGTCAGACTAGTTTTTCACTTATTAAATATTTAAGAATTGGTTCATGCTTTGCGTACGAATATCGAGTTGTGGATACACGTGGTTAGTAATGCTCGGTCTTTACAAGAAAACAGCCAATCAGAGCGCGTGTGCTATTGTAGCCATATAATAAGATATGATCCCTATTAACCCTTTAAGCCCAAAGAGTGATCAGCATTAAATTTCTCCTTGTAATATCAATGCTTTGTAAAACAGAGTGGTCATGAGAATTACGGACATGATCAAACAAGATGAATTTGCTTGATATTTTATCAACTTCTCCCCATTACTTCTGTAGGAAATGAATAGGGGCAACAAATGAGAATTCAAATTTTGATCTTAGGGTTTATAGGGTTAACTTACATGATCTTGTGTAGAAGTTGTTGTTCGTGTCGTCAGCCTCTTTGTTGTACTGCGAGTTTTCACACCAGTGGTAGTTGCAGTGGTTCGGGCGGGCATACTGGTGAATCCCTTACTGACCACTTCAGGGATCCCCTCGGGGACTTGTTGCTCTGAAGGAGCCGAAGTAACGCTGTACAGTCGACAGCGTTTGGCTTGACTGCCTTCGGCGACTGTTGACAAAGAAAAGCGTTTAAGTCCAAAGATTGAAATTGATGGAATTCTTCTAAAAACAAGCGCCCTGACTCTTACCCAAAACTATCCCCTGTCTTTTGTTTCTAAGAGCAAAGTAAAGGCTGCATTTAACAGTAAAACAACGAAGGGGGTATTATAGTCAATAAAAAAAATCAGGTATGGGTCAATTAAGTTTTTCGCGCCTCAACCAAATATGAAGTAAACGCCTAGGGCAAAGGAAGAACGCTATGCAGTTAAACTAGAAGGCGTATTTGGTTAAAAGTTACTCATCGATCACTTATCTTGAATGCGATGCCGGCAGCAAATGTGGTCTGTGTTTTTAACCCTAATCTGTGATTTCTGCCGTTTGAAACTAACACTACCAAACATACCCAGTTCTCCTGGTCTTTTCTTGCTGTCCATGGATTCAAATGGTTTGGGAATACCTCTTCTAGTAGCCACGCCCATTATTCCGTGACTTGAACCCTTCTCTTTCTCGATCTGCGGCACAGCAGAGGCTACGGCATCTCTCTCCCCCCGCGACGGCCTCCTTTCACTTGTACGTACAGCCACTGGCTGCGCGCTAACAGCAGCCGCCGTAGTCACTTGGGTTATAGATGATGAAGCCTCAGATCTGTTTTCCGCCGTAACAGTTGCAGCTGTGTTCAACGACTTGATGTCTAAACTTGCCATGGATTTTGCGAGAGGCGAGAACACACCAGGATTAAGTGCAGCCTGTTTCACGCTCACCGAGGTCTAAGTGGGCCTGCGGGCTTGGTGAAGCTCTTTCATCCCTTGCACATTCTTTAGGCGACGATTCGTCAGTGGGGTTATTCTGCGGACTTTCTTTCCCTCGAGTAAGTTTTTCAATCTTACTGACAAGCTTCAAGTTTGTAGCCAGAGTTTTATCAGCCGCTTTTCTCTTTTCATCAGCCAAAGCTCTGCTCTTTTCCAACTCCTCTTGCAGTTCACTCAATTTCTCTTGAAGGCGTTTAATCTCTGCGTCTTTATTAGAACTAACATCGGTTTTCTTGTTATTAGCAACAGCTTTCCACTTCAAAAGTTCCTGATTAAGTTCACTAATCCGAGATTGTAGGCGTTTTATTTCGTCGGCTTTTGCCGAAAGTTCTTTTCTCCCGCTATTCGCTTTCTCCTTGTTGTTAGCAATTCCTTTCCACTTTTGAAGCTCTTGATTCAGCTCGCTCAATCGCGTTTGAAGGCACTTTATTTCCTCTGCTTCCGCGGAATTCCCTTTGCTCTCTAACGAGATCACTTTGAGCTTCGCCTGATTAAGTTCTTTTTCTAGTCTTTCTTGACTGCTCTTTGCCTGATTAAACCTGATTTTCGACTCCTCTAACTGATGCAGAAGCTTCTTCTTCTCTTTATTCCAAGCAGACTGATCATTCCCTCCAGTAGAACCGCGCTTTAACTGTTCATTTTCTCCTTTCAACAACGCGCAGTCACTGTTAGAATCTCTCAGCTCGAACTTAACTTGATCTAACTCTGCTTCATATTCTTCTTTCAATCCTTCACTCCTTTCCTGCGCTTGTTTCAGCTCTTCCTTTGCCTGCGTAAGCTCTTTGCATTTCTGTTTGAACTCTTCCTCCAGCTTTTCGAGTTTTCCTCGAAGATCTTCGTACGCAAATGTCAGCTTCTCTTCCCTCGCTTCGCCCAGCTTAAGCATTTTCTCTACTTCAGCAAGCTCCCTACTCTTTTTCTCCGCATCTGCCTTCTGTTCTTTCAGAAGCCCTTCCATCTCGTCTGCAACTTGCAACAGTTCTTTTTTGTTACTCTCCTCTTTATCGAGCTTTTCTTGAAGTTCCTGCACTTTCTTAGCTGAATTTTCCAGATGCATTTTCTCTTGTGTGTTCTGTAGTACCGATACATCTTTT